AATACAGTTGAAACGAATAGTGCTGGTGTCAGATTTAGTAAGACTGACTGACTTAGCATGAATTGATTTCGCATTGGGAGAATTTTGATCACTCCCATCAAGATTATCTATCGCGATAAACCTAATTTCACGCATGAATTCTCACGTTCTTACGTCACTATTGCCGAAGAACAGTTGCATTCAATCATTCTTAGAATTTTACAACTGTTAGCTTTAAAAAAAACATTTATTAGTCATATTAACCAAATTGATTAACCAAAAAGTGTATTCATTCACTTCTTTGTTAAGATTGAAATGTTCCAGATATATGATTGTTAATGATGGATCACTCTCAATATGTCCCACGGTGAAAATTGTTCTCTGTATGATGAATACTTAAGGCTGTAGATGTGGGTATGGGTGGTTGTGTGTGATGTTTCCATCATTTGTTATTTTTATTACGATCATTTTAGTTTCGACCTATTTTATACCATTCAGCAAACTGATGTGTGATTAAATTCATGTATGTAATAATGTCTACACATGAGAGTGAACGTAATCAAGCAGAACATATCATTGGAAGAGAATAATAAAGTACAATTGCCGAAACACGTTCTCTCTTATTGAAAAGTTCTCGAAATGAGTTAGTAAATATGATAACAAACTGGAGAAACAGCTCTACCCGCCGCCTCGGTAATGATGTTTATTAAGCTACTTCATACCTTCCATCGAGGTGTGTATCGTACACACACAACATAAACTGATATAGGAAAGCGCTGAACACAACGAAAAAGAATAGAGATAAAAAATAAATATCAGCTAGAAACCGAGATACTATCATTGAAACAGCACCAATGCTGTTGAAGAATATCTCGTGGTTAGGTGATTGGTTAGAAGACTTTTTTGTGTATGATTAATGCCTTTTGATTATTTTCTGGTATCTTCAAATATTTCTTTCCTTTTTAACAGACACTATTACTGCTGTTGATTACGCAGAGATTCATTTGGATGATTGTTATTTGATATTCACTGAAAAATCACCAATGGGTTTTCACATAATTTCCGTGCATAGCAAAATCATTAGTCATCGAATCAACAACAGCAATGTTACAATGATATGATATTATTATTTTCATTGAGAGTTGAAGCAATTTGTAGTATCATTGAAAACTCAATTCTTAGTCAATTTTATTGCATATTATCAATTTAGCAAAGAACGATGTCTAAATGGTCAGAAGATAATTCAATGAGAAAATAATGCTAAATATTTCGCACTATTATCAAAGAAATATCAATATAAATCACCTATCTTCTATTCTATCCATATATTATCAAAAAGAATAATTAAGTCATCTTGAGAGTAAGAATGTGAGGTGGTATAATATTCATTGAGCAATCATATTGGCAACAACACCTAGACGCACACCCTATGAATGTTATTGTTTTATAGTTCTTTTAATATTTGAATGCACATACGTCCGTTCTATGTCCTTTAACGACTACTCCTAGATAGACCTGGAAGAATAATAACTTTAATCACTTGTTTAACAAATTAATGTTTATTTATTTGAAAAAAAAATCCAAATCAAAAATTCGAAATGGTGCACATCACACCATTAAAGTCTTTTCTTTTCGTAATCATCTTTTACATGATTATGAAAATCTTTAGTAGTATCGATTACTATCTTCACGAAAAAACTACTAACAATGAAAAACAGAACGATTCTAAGTACAACTAAAGCAATTTCGACGATTTGAAGAATTCCACTGATTTTTGCATACTTTCGTGCTTTTGAATCATAGCTGTTTCTGTGCATTAACCAATTTATAATCCATATACATGGAACACAAATGCCGACAATAAGAAGAATCAGTGCCAGTTGACTAGCATGACCATTTTCATCATCCATAGCATTGTTGTTTTTTTCATGTCGTTCAGATGAATAAGTTGAGGATGGTGAACGTAATGGAACAGAAACAGGTGTAAAGGTAAATGACATTGCCTTTTTCAAGTTAAGTCAGAAAAATTAAGAAGAGAGAAAAATTATTATTTTATGTTAAAAGTGAGAAAGAAAAAATGAAAATGATTGAACGAAGATAAAAGACATAAATTTTTTTTTTTATCTCAAAGTGCGAACACGTACGAAGGACAAAACATTAAGAATTGTAATGTCTTCAAAAAAAAAAGATCATAATCTAGTAGAAATTCAAATTAGTGTGTAATTGGTACGCATGAAACAAACACTAAACTACAACCAAAGTCTTTAGATCGAGTGTATATACCATATTAAAAAATTGGAATTCTTTGTCTGAGATTTTTTCACTTCAAATTAAATCATATACTAATCAAGAGAGCTCAACTCCTTGTCTAAAACCGCATATATGATGTTTTGTTTTATCCTCAAGATAAAGTGAACGGAAAAAATTTAAGACACTTTGAGTATTTTGTTCGTTTTTTTATTGTAAAAAACAGAAAAAATGTTCAATAATATACGAATAAGTGAAAAATTGAATGGACCACATTTTACTATAGAAATGTTTTCTTAATTATTAGTTTTCTTAATCTAATATTACTAAATAAAAATTTTAATCAATTAGTTAAGTTTTTTCAAACTATCTTTATTGTTTTATTAATATTCCATCAATGATTAAACAAATTAATGTTCAAATGAGAATCTCACAACGTAGAAAACAACGGATTTTGCAGAGCAGAATTTTTCTATCAAATTAAACCTTGCAACTTCCTTTTGGAATTGAAAAGGTCCACTTTCTTCCACCTGGAATTGAAGGCGTTCTATTGGAAAATTTCTTATTGATAATTAAGGAGTTGTTTACATGCAACATAGCCTTAAGTTGAAGAAACCAATCTATGGTGGTACTGACTGCCTCACTTCAGCGGTTAAACGTATACTTAAGAATATTTGTTTACAATGGAAATGATTGTTATGCTTGTTCTTGTATTAAAGTTAAAATTTATTTATGTTTTTTTTTTCATATATCATCTTTTAATATAAAGAAGTTAATACTAAGAAGAAACTGACTATAAAAGGAATTTTTTATGTATTCACGTGTGTTACGACTAACGCGAAATGACCGGTGCGCTGCACTACTCTATGCAACTTATTCGTTAATGTTGATCTTGACGATGGAAATTTCTCTTTCTCTTATGTGTCTCTATATAAAACACAACTTGAGTTGATGAGCTAGATCAATCAACATTACTCTTCTAGCTCGTGAAATTATCCGATTAGAAATTCGTTCAATGGTAACTTTACATTGAATACTGTATAGCAGTCAGTCACAAAGTGACTTTTGGCGCTGTTATGATACATATGCGAGAAAAAATCTATATATTTAGTTTTGTTTTTGTCACAAAATTGATTTCAATCTTTTCAACGGCGACATCGAAATATTTCTTAAGTTGCAGTGAGTTATTACGACACATTTCGTATGACTGATGTAACACATCGGATCACAGTAATTCGACCATTATCTTAATATATTGTCATTGTCATAGTCTCTCATATAGATGTGAAAATGAATTTTCTCCATAATAAAACATTGCCATTTCTTTAATTAACTATAAATACACATCCAATTATTCTATTTCGCTCGTTTCTTTTAAATCATATTTAAATCTTCAATTGATTTAAAGCTACTATTATATACTAATGGATTCTTCTCATTATACAATATCGATTCATCATTTAATCGTATCTAATTGGGTGTGGGGTGTGGAAACATGGATAAACAACACATAAAAAGCCACATCCCACACTCACACCCTCAAGTCATATTTGTGATGTTACAATGTAAAATGAACTATAAGTATATATTTTGATTTTAATATCATTAATTATTTGATATTTAGTTGATCTGAAATAACTTCGACAAAAGTTACTGTCGAAGTTATAATTTCGTCGAGTGGTGAACTTGGATACGATATTTATATGAATAAAAAGAATGTATCTTCATTGTGCTCTGTACTTTTTCTTTGTGTATATTTTGGGAAAAAAAAGAAACGGTGAATCGCATCTCAGTGTATATATTTCGTGTTCTTCTGGTCAAATTAATTTTTGTTCTGTCATAAAGCGTGTCTGTATAGTTTTCTTTCTTTCCGTCTTTTATTGTATGTATGTATGTGAAAAAATTTACATATGAACAGACAAAGTAGAAAGAATAGTTTGTTTTCTTGCATACTCTGGTACATCATCCAGTGGTTTATCTTTTGTTTCGGGTAAGATTAATGTAAGTAAAATGACAACAACAGCTAGTCCTGATGATGCATAAAATGTATATGGTAAATATTCAGTCTTAACGGATGTATCAATAATTGGTGCAACAATAGCACCACTACGACCCATTGCAATAAAAAATCCATTAGCACTACTTCGAATTGAAGTTGGAAAAAGTTCAGGTACGAATATCCATGATACAGCCACTGAACCTGATATACAATATTTTCCCAATTCAGCAATAAATATAGTTGCTATTGAACTATATGGTAAAATAATTGGAATAAGAAGAACACAAATGCTTGTTATAATCATTAGAAGAATAAATGAACCTTTACGAGCAAGTTTTGTTGATATAAGCAAAAAACCTGTTGCATAACCAAATGCTTCAACAATAGCACCAATTAATATTCCTAAATATGGTGAAATATTCATTACTGCTAGGCCATAACTTATTTTAATATAAAGCATAAGTGTTGTAAAACCAATTAAAGCAATAATTAATAATTTAATAATAGTTGAACGTTGTGTTAGAATTTGATGAGCTCTACGAAAAAATGTCAGTTCATCATGATTTACTAATGCGGATGGTTGTTTTCGTATAAATTCTTGATAAAATGGATACCAATCTACTTCTTTTCGTTTATTTTGTCTTGCTATCCGTCGTAAAAGTGCTTCAAGTTGAGCATACTGTCGTTTAGAATAGATGTATAATGGTGATTCAGGCATAAAATAAAGATATGGTAGTACTAAAGCAAAAAAAGTTGTGTTAGCCCATTTGAGTATTTGCCAATCTTTTGCTAAATAAGCAAATAGAGTAACAATAACTTCACCAATTGTATATGAAAAAAGTGCAGCATTTCCTGCCAAGTTTGTATGTGCTGATGATGTTAATTCAAGCATGAGAATAAATGTTAGACTAAATGTTGGAACAGTTAGACCTGATGCGAATTGATTAATTAATAAAAGACCGAATCTAACAAAAAAAAACACCCCAAAGATTCTAGATCAAGAAAAAAAAAATCAATCAATTTACTTCATGTTCATTTCCATGGGTATCCATTGCATCAATATCTGACTAATTAAACATGTTACAAGTAGAAGAATAGTGACAATAACAGTTAATCTCTTTCGACCAAATTTATCAGCTAATGATCCAATAATAAATAATGAAAAACCACCACATTGGACTAAAGTAGCCAACCAACTTTTGATTGGTTCACTACTACAAACAAGATTTGCTTCTTCAGTAAATGTATATCCAAATATAGATCGATCATATATCCATCCATTTGGACAATTGACAAGTGTATCATTTCGATTTTCGATTGTATAACGTATGCATTTCTCCCAATTTTTTCCATTTTTTGTTTTTGGTATATAATTATTAATTAATCTTTCATGTGTACTATTTATTGGATAATATTGTGAATCATTAGGCCAGATATTTTCTGGTAATCGACATCGATGAGCAGGCTCAGCTGCACCAAAAACATAATAGTAACCAGCAATACCTGCACTCATTGCAATAAGATTAATAAAGAAATAATGTATCAATTGAAATCTACCAAGATCGCCACATTTTTTAAGAACATCATCGAAAGAAATTTGTATTGCTGTTGGCGAAGATAGACTTGCATTAATATCAATTGAATCTGCCTATCAAATGTATATTTTGAATCAATTTTCACAGAAACAGAATTGTTTTTTTTCTTACATGCAATTCCTTTTTGACAGTATCATTGTCAAGCGAATACATTTCACTTTCTAATCCATTCATTTGTCGTTTTCTGTTGTTCTTCGTTAAGAGTAAGGTTAAATAAATTGAAAAAGATAATATTATTTAACCATCTTCATTTATTTTCTTTATTTTATACTGTTAACTTTGATATCTCTAAGTTTATATAAAAGAAAAGAAAAAAACTGACAAGAAATCGTGTTTGAGTGGTTTTTGTCGTATTCTACTACAACACACGAACAGTTACACTCATACAAAACCTTATTTTCGTTTCTTTTGCATCAATAAATGAGTTTTTTTTTCTTTTTGCGTTGTTCGTTTTTCATCACAGATATACTATAGTCTGTTTAAAAAGTCCGTACGTATGACTGTTTTTTGAATAACTCGAGAACACAAACAGCTAGAGATCTGTGGTTTCCATCAATCGAAAGAGGAGGAGCTAGAGCGTCTTTCTCTCTAATAATGTCTCAGACAAAATTCTTTTAAAACTGATCATCTTTGAAAAATATAGAAAAGAATGC